TTTTCGTACATTCTATCGTCCTTTTTGAACTTTGTTTCGGCTTTACTCAATTATTAAAAAAAATTACAAAGAAAATCAAAATACGACTTTCTTTGTCACCAACTAGATGAAAAATTCAATAAAAAAGATTTCTTGTTGTTGTTATGTTAGGAGCAATATTTTTAATAGAAAATATAAATCGTAAAAATTTAAAATAAAGGAATTCTAGCATCATAATTTGAAAAAAATCGGTATTTTTCGTCTCTTTTAATTTTTCCCTCATTATTATATAAAATACCTTAAATATCAAAAAAAAAGGAATTTCTCTGACAGTGGATATATATTATATTAAAAGGAATAAAATCGATTATTTATCATTTTTCGATTTGAGCAATGTTTCTGGCAAAAACTAAAATAATTAGACCGGGACGCCACGATGCCGTACATTTTTACCGATTGTTATCTTTCGGTTCTAGACATTTTTGTAACATCTGCGAAGATTCCGTTAACATATTAAAACAACACTACAGCGGCGGCCGATGCTCTGAAAAGGCGGCCGTGAATAACGAACACTGACATTAAGTGCCTATATTATACTGTAACCTACTGGAAAATGCATTTTTCGTTAAGTAGAAAAAAAGTGCTTTCCATATCCCCCCTCCCTCGTAGTTCGTAAGTAAACATCACGGTGCAAAACCGACTGATTATATGAATTTATTACTTTTTTATACATATATACATATATATATATACCATACAGCTAACGTTTCTTGACGGAAAGCACTATAAACGCTTTTATCTTTAAAGTATTTTTTCCAGGTAATTCTGCGCACCACGACTCGTGAAATTCATTTTATTACGTACCTACACCGACATTGTTAAATAAATAGACTGTACAGCTCTGTTTTTTTTTTTTAATATTAGGTGGTATATATAATGTATATAACAAGCAGAACGTGATGTTCGATAATCGAGAGGACTTTTTATATTTTACGAGGGTTTTTATTATTATTATTTTTTTTTTTTAACAACCGTTTCCCCCTTATTTTCGTATCACCCCATAATAAAATATTCAATAATATACATTTATGACGTCTGTAAATTTATTATTGTTATGTTGTATTGTTGTTCACACATTGGCAGAAGGCTCTAAATATTTTTGTATTTTGCGTCGCGTAGATGTACATAATATTATAGATTTTACAATAATAATTGCTCCTTAAAGGGATTGAAGTTGTATATATATATATATATATTAGTCGAATTTGACGTAAAAGCCAGAAAACAACGCTATAAGAATTGTGTTTGACGGATTTCAATTTTGAAAATGGATTACGATCCTTTAGGTTATTAAATTTACTGGGACATGCTGGAAATAGAAATGTAATTACGAGTATTTTACTGGAAATCTTAAAGACGTTTTATTGTATTTTTGATAAATTTTCAGAAATAAACTTAAACTAATTATAAAATAATAATAATTACCACTTACCCTTATAAAAAATCTAAACAATCATAATACGTTTTCAAAATTAAAATGTAAACATCACACAAATAATCGACGATTATTTCTGATGGAATTAAAAGAAAAATAACACAAACCGTTATATTGCGTTGATATTCCCGTTTCTTCCCAATTATTCAAAAACCTATACGGAAAATCATAAAACAAGGCTCTCCAATGCACCTAACTATAGTCAGGAGATCATAGTATCCTAAATCGGTAAAATTTGCTTCCAAAAACATTGTTACGTTTGAAAATCGCAGCAAGATTTCTGGTAAAAAATTTGTCAACAGACACAAAAAAAATCACATCATAATAAAAAATAAATTTATTATTATTTAGCTCAGGGGGTATATTTTTAAACTAAACCAATAATAGAATTAGTACTAAAATATCACGTTTTAATTCGAATATTAGTGTAAGAATATTTTTAAATGGGTTGTTCATTAAAACATTTTTATTAATGTACTAAAATTTTAAATCAACCTATTAAATCTATCACACTAATTGAGTTTTTAGCTTTAATAATATTATATTATTGTTTATTAATTTAGAATAATTTATTAAATTCAGTGTCAGGTTACCCTACAGGCAGATTGAACTAAGCTATTAAATACTACAAATTGAAATATTTCCGTACATTTTTCCTAAACGAATCAACTCCATGGCACGTCAAACCGTACTAATGCCCACGATATAATTTAGTTATTGATTTTACAAAAAAACGCACTATTTCCATAAGATACAAATTTATAATTTGATTAATAAAACATTTTAGTATTATATTTAGATATTTTAAATTTACTGTATCAACACATCTGTGACATGAAGAAAGTTTATGAAAAATTACAGCTCCCAAATTTCCACCATGAGGAGCAATAGCCCCCCATTTGATTTTTGACACTATTTTTTAAATAAAAGCCACTTAAGTGGGAAAAAACGTAGAAAAACGTACAATTTCATAATTATACTATTTTGTAAAAAATATTAACAACGTTTTCTACCAGAAAAAATAATTTAATCAAAAAATCGCAAAACACCTTTTTTGTTGCTTTTTCGATTTACTTTCTTACGGTATCATGACCAAAACTTTTGAGCTACTTTCGAGCTTTTGAGGAATTTTAATTTTTAGGAGTTTTTTTAAGATAACTCGGTTATAAAAACACGTAGAGACTTGAAATTTAGTAATAATACTTATATTAGACTTATCCAGACGTGGTAAAATTTTAAAAATGATCGGATTTTTTTTTAATAAACTTTTTGATACCAAATTTAAACGAATTAGGCAAAAAAAAAATTACTGCATTTCAAATTATGCACTACCAAACTGCACTCATAATTGTCTTTCGTCAATCAATGGTTTAGCGTAGCTTACAGATATAAATGAAATAACCTTATGTATCCTACCTTCTCGACTTCTCACCAACAGTGGCCGCTTCCTCCCCAGTATCAGCTCTTTTTTTCTATAATTTTATCTTATATAATATTTGTTCTCTTTATTTTTCGATCGACATGCCATGCCATACGTGTGTGTATCTAATCAACACACATGTTATACAAAAAATTAATAATATTTTAAGTTACTATGATGTAAGTATTTTTTATTTTATTTGAAGACTCAAGTCGTTTATAATTTTATAATAACATGAAGAACGCCGCGCCGTATTTAGGTTAGTCCACTTAACGGTTATACCATTATGTAACAGTTAAGCTATTTTAAAAATTGAATTAGCTTGTGTTGAAAACTATACAAAACTGACTAAAGCCATTTTTCCTGTAGGACCAAAGGTATAATTGCATTGGACGCGAGGTGTTTCGCAGAGTAAAAAAGATTCTGCAGCATCGGTATATACCTTATATCTATCCATTATTTTATATTGCATTATTTCACTGTTATAGGATTTAATTTATTTTTAAAAGGTTTTTATCAATACGGACGGCGGTAGCGGACCGTATTCATTTACTATCTACCTACCTACCTACATCTATATTTTGCGTATTAATCGGTTAAAATTTATCCAATGACGTACGTGTAGTCCCGTGCACATTAAAACGCGAAAAAAGACCAAGATAAATATCTATTGCAGCGACATTCGCAATAGTATATATTATCCAATATTCGTTTTTAAAACCGATTAACTTGTTATTTTATAGGTTAACTTAATAAACTCGGGCGATTTTCGATTAGTTTTTCTATTTTAGATTCTGTGATTTATTTTTGATTTCGCGCTAACAATCGGTAAATAATTTAGTACTCTAATAAATTAAGCGGCGAAATTCCAAAGTGTACTATCAGCATTTTTATCAAACGTTCAGGAAATATGATTTTCTATTTTGAACTGTGCATGAGTCGTTTACAAAAACCAAAATATGTTTAGAATTCAGAAAAATAAACTGAACATTTTAATAAAGTAAAAATAACTTTTAGTTTTGTTTCGAATGATTTATTTGACAATTTATAGATTTGATTGCGCAAATATGTACTATTACTAATACATACTACAGTATGTTTAAGCATAATCATAGCATTTATACCACTTTTGACGATATTGTCTCAATTACGTCATAGCGCACTATTTGCATGTGCAAAAAAACATTTTACTATGCATACACGTAGGTACATTTTGGCCATGATCTGACACAGTGACGCTATATGCTACCTATATACTAATTTTTTGTATGTGTGGCAATAAACATTAATTTATACCCACCTACCTCACACAATATTAAACATAAGTCATGGGAGTCATAGCCCCCCACATCAATTGCTAATGACATAACCAAGGCTCGGAACTTTATGCGCTTAGAAGTACTCAAATATGCGCATATATATGCATTAAAATATTTTGAAAATATGCGAAAACATGAAATTTATTGAAAAAAAATAAATGTTACATACAAAATTTGAAAACTTAAAATTAGGTACATGAAAAAATAAAATTAAAAAAAAATAAACTTTTTGCACACTTGTCTGTATTGCTGTCTTCGTGTGTGTATACTTTCATGTGTATGTTATACCTTCAGTAAACTTTAATCTTCTTGATTTCCTATTAAAAAAGTAGAATCAATAAATATTTAAACAATTAGATAGGTTACTTTATTTTTTACCTGTGTTGCACTGAAGTAAAAGGTGTTTCCTTATGGTCTCGAGTTTAAATGATCTTCGATTATCGGTCAAAAGATTTTTGTAAATCGAGAAAAATCTCGACATCAACTGATGTAATTGGAGCAAACTTGTAAAAAATTAAATCATTTGTGGTAAGATCTTCAGGTAGACCATCCATGTTGTCACTTTCTCCACCAATTATTTTTGATATCTGTTATAGTATTTTTAATCCGCTGTTTTTGTTTAAAACAGTTTCAAATTTCTTATATACTTTTTGCCCGTCATTACCCTGAGCCATTTGTAACTGAACTTGAACTTTTTCTAGAATATCTAAAGATTCAGCTTAAAGCATATTTTTTTTTTTTGTAATTTTAAAATTGAATCTGAAAGTACTTAAAAATTTGATTTTATCTATACCAGATTACTTTTGACACATTTTTTTATCAAATTTTTTTTTACTATTTTTATACTTGAAGCGTCTTCTAAGTCTAAAATTTCCACAATTTCACAAATTTCTTTGTAATATTCGCAGTAATAGATGCTAGAATTTAGCCACGTGCCCCAACGTGTGATAACTGGCTCTGGTGGTAAGGCTATATTCGGGGCATGTGTCTTGAATATCTGAACACGTGATGGCGCTTTTTTAAAACATTTTTTTACATTCAATATAATTCTATCGATCGTGCCAAACTGTCCTCGTACCTCTTCACAAGCCCTTTGGAGACCATGCACAGCGCATGTCACGTGAATCATTTTTGAATACAATGCATTTAATGATTTCCCACACTTAACCATATAGGGCGCCGCATCCGATAGAAATAATAACACGTCATCGTGTTTGATTCCGTCAGGCCACAAAATATTGAGCGATTTGTCAAAAAATTTAGATACCGTAGAGTGGTTTGCTTTTTCTAACTCGTCGGTATTTAATAAAAATATATCACCTGCTCTATCTTCTTCTAGAGTTCCTATTATTGCATTTGCAATTTGTCTTCCCTCAGCGTCAGTCGTTTCATCGATGATATCCAATTTTTTTTTAAAAACACACGTTGTCTAATGTTTTTCATCATTTCCTCGTAACAATCATCAAGATAGAACTTTCTAAGCGTCGATTCAGTGGGGACGTCTTTTTGAGTATATAATTTTAAGAATTGACGAAACTCTGTATTTTGTAATTTGTTCAGCGGTATATTAGCTGATATCAAAGCTCTGCATAAATCCATATTGAAAGTAGATTTTTTCGACGTTAGATTTGTTAATAGTTG